CCCCCCCAAACTCCCTACTTCTTTACTTTCCCTCTGTTGTTTCTATCTGTCTTATTTTTTCCCAGCACTAAATGACCATTACTGTGTCCATGTGCTTTTCTTTACCGGTACCGTACTCAACTAACAAACAAACAAACCGTTTCCCTTTGTCTTTACTTATCTCTGTCTCTCCTCATATGTGTGAAGTGAGAGAAGGAAAACTAAAGGAGGTAGGTGTTGGGTGGATGAGTGCCTTGAGTTGGTCACATTTTTCCTCTTCGTTTTAGGGTTGCTATTGTCCTGGTTTAGCTCGTTAAGCATCATGACATCTGACTGTAGACTAAAATTCATCATCATCATCATCCATCATCATCCTCATTCATCATCATCCTCATCCATCATCATCTTCATCATTAACAACAACAACAACAACAACAACAACAACAACAACAAAACAACAACAGCAACAACAACATCAAAAACGACGACTACGATGACAACGACAACAACAGTATATACAATGGCATGGTCTCCTCCTTGTATTTCTTGTCATTGTCACATTTATCGTAATCTCTATCCTGGAGAATGTTGACCTTACACTTCTCTATTACTTGAGTAAAGATGCACACCAACACGATAACAGCTGTTTGGTGCAGGAGTAAAGAAAGCTAGGCAGACACAAACGACAGAGGGAAAAGGAAAAAAAAAAAAGACAACTGCACGTTCACACAAAACACCCGAACGAGCGGAGTCTTTCTTTTGACAACAGTCCACCGACCAAAAGTACCAAAGCAACGACCATGGCCGAGTGGTTTTTCACGCGCCAATGGGATTGTGTTTAATTTTACGGCTGCTTGAAAAATTTCAACAACATCGGCCGCTTAGATCTAGATCTTCTGGACACCAATGTCTTCCTGTGTCAACAAAGCCTGCAGCGTATAGTGTGTACTCGTCAAAGATCTATAGTGGACCATCTCCCTTCTTTTTCTATCTGGGGTTAGCTCGCTTGTCCTTGCGATTGTATTCAAAGGATTATGTCGATCTGGAAGAAATGTGATAGTAGCTCTACGATCATTTCAAAGTATGCGTGTTGGCGTGAACACTTCACCGGCCGTTGTCGTTAGAATGACTGTTGTTAAAACGACTATCGCTCTTCCGAGTGTTTGGTGTGAACGCGCAGTTACTATTGACAACCCTCAATCACCTTCATTATGATTCTTACTTTCTGCAACTACAAACCAACAACAAAAAGAATCAACTGTTGTTTTTTTTTCGATTTCGAATTTCAACCACAAACATTTCTTGTGTTTTCCCTTAGGTTTGAGGCTCGCCCGCGGACACAATGGGCTGTGTGAGCAGCAAAGCGGTGGTGACGTCATCACACAGTGATCTCACCAGTGTGACAAGTAAAGATAACGGCAAACCCGCCCGCGGGTCGCGCACTGACAAATCTGACCTCCCTGGGCCCAGCAGCTCGTCCCAGACGTTCGCCAACGGCACGGAAAGGTTCGCTGTGTTCGGCGAGAAGTACGACGACGTGCCGGGAGAGGCTGTGCACGGCGAGGGTGTGCAGAACGCCAAACCCAAACTTCCCCGCTCTGGCATCGGCAGGGGAACCGCGTCCTACAACGACCCCATCACTCCAGGTATTGAAGGACGCGCCATAGACGATCTTGATCTTTCCAGAATCGATAACGGAAGTTTCTTAAATCTGTCTGGGTATTCCCTGAGTTCTCTCAGTGACATCGATCAAGACGAGAACAAGGTCTCCAAGAAGTCGACACACCAGTCTCACTGGGACAGAACGGAGAAAAACAGTTCAGAAACCGTGACAATGATACCTGAGTTCAAGAACTCACCCTTCGTTGAAGACGGAAAAGAGGACGAGGTTTCCATCCTAAACTTGTCCAAAAACAACTTAAATCTCAGCCGAGCCAGCAGCGCGAAGGCAGGATCTGTTTTGACCACCACAGCGCTCAACACCAGCTTCGCCACAACGCACGATGACGACATCTACTCCGAGCTCGCCCTCAGCACGCCCCTCACAGACTTCGACGAGCCGTCTTCCTACAGAACCGCCAGTATCACGCCATTGATGAGCCAGTCCGAGGACCCCACGCCCGCCACATTGCTCAGTAAACAGTTCGGGCCCATTATGGAGGAATACGAGGGTGGGTTTACACCACGAAGTATCACTAACGGGGAGTGTGCCCAGACACCACGGAGTGTCACTAACGGTGATTGTGCCCAGACACCACGGAGTGTCACTAACGGTGACTGTATTCCCACACCACAAAGTGGCACTAACGAAGAACGTGTTTCCACGCCAAGTTTGACTTTCTTACCTCGAGAGGTGTTGGAGCATAATCGTAACGCCGGCTGGAATGAGTGGAGTATGTACAAAGGGAAAGTGTACGACAACATATCACTAAGGAATGTGTTCAAGCCTCTTATATATTTGTCCAGAGAGGAAATGAAAAGGCGTGTTGCGGAAAAAAGAGAAGAAAGGGAAGAACGCAGGAAGTTACAAAAGCAAGAAGAAGACGAGGAGAGCGACGGAGAAGACGATGATGTGTCTGTGTATTCAGAGGAGCTCATACCGAAGTACGACCTGGAGAGAGAAGAAACCTGGGACAGGAACGGGGTCAAGTTTATCCTCCTCAACCGTCTTGAGAAGAGTGTGGTCCAAGCCCACTTACCGCAGTGCTGTGTAGGGTCCTTGGAGAGAACAGGAACAGCCCGCTACTGGGCAGACATCAGGGAAGACGTGAAGAGCGTTCTGAACGATCTCATTGGGAAGGATGCATGTGTTGACTATATGCATTTACTTCAGCGCTGGATAAAGAAATACAGGGACAGCTGTCCCTCTAAAAACCAGTTGGAACAGGGTGACCCAAACTCGCTGTCATTCCCCTTGCCGGAAGAAATAGCGGAAGATCCCGACTCCCTCCGGAAATGGTTGGAGCTATGGGAACCGTTCGAGATGGACATTCCCGAGGAAGGGGCGTGGGACATGGCTGAGGTAGATGAATTTGATTTATCGAACAGTCATGAGATATTTCTTGCATCGCTCCGATCCCATTTTGAACCAATTCCCTTCGACATGGACATAGACGGCGAGGCGGGATGGGAGGTAATCTGTGAGAACTTGATCGCAGAGGACAGGATGACGGAGAGCCAGCGGCGCGTAGCGGAACTGCGCAGTTTCAGAACAGACTTGCACGATCCCAAGAGAATGGAGAGAAGACGACATAAAATCTTGTCATATTTTGTCAAAAAATACGAAATGGATCAATCAAAAGTCAACCATTTCTTAACTTGGGCCGATGAAATGGAAAAGGGAGAGAAAAGGTTTCTCGAGCTATGTAATTAATGAGCGACGTCTTGGACACACATTTTGTATTTGAATTAGGGGGAGATTATTATTTTTTCCTAGCCATACGTCCTACTTTTGTAACCCTATATTTTGTGTAAATTTCATTTTACCTTTTCTTGTACACATCTTTTATTACCGGTTTACAATGCCTTTTTCGTTAGTATAAATACTCGCTTGTTGACAATGTTATCTCAAGCATCGATAGGCTTTGTCGCTCTCCGCCACTTTCACCCCCCTTTCTTTTCCTTGCTTTTTTTTGGCGGCCGGGGTAGGAAGGGGGGGGGGGGGGTGGCTTCCTCATATGATCTTTACTATTTATTTTGAGTTTTACTCATCCAACTTAAATTTTCCACCCTGAAATCCAGCCCTCCGATCTTCCACCCTGAAGCTTAGCCCACCTCCACACCCCGCCAGTGCACCGGCACATGGAAGTACATGTGGTTCAGAGCTTGGTAATGCCCGAGTGACTGCCATATTGGCGGCCAGCGTTGAAGGACGGGGAAGACAGTTCTGAACTCTTGTCTAAAAATACGTGCTTTAAAAACCAAGAAAGAAATTCCATGGGATCTGGATACCTTTATTGACGATGTTTTCATTTTGCTACCAAGGAAACGCATATTTAACAAATGTCGGTGATACCCCCCCCCCC